CCGCTAAATCCTCTAGTTACCATGCTGCCGTGTTCGATCCTCATCTTTCTTTTTTTGTGCAACCTGCCAAAAAATGTTTATTGCTGTTAAATAAAGTCAATGTAACAAAACAATAATGTTTCTCTCCTTCAAAGTAACGCTTTAGAAAGAAAAGTTTTTAAATAATATTTAATAACGAAACTGGACATACAATTTTTATCGAATAAACATTTCTTCATAATGTTAAACAGTGTACCAGATATTAAATAAAGAAAGTGGAATGCCACTATTAAAAAATATGAATATTTTATTGTGTATAAGAAAAATTACCAAGACCACACAGATGGGGAAAAAATGTTACATAAAAACTTTTATTCTTTCTGATCATCAGTATCGTTAACACTCTTGACGTGGGGTACAGTTTTTGATATAATAAAAGAATGTTAAATCAATAAATATTATGTGACCACCCAGAGAGCACATAGTCGTCTAAAAGGATTACTAAAACTGAACATATTTTCGTCAAAGATATCTTTTAGTAAGAGCATTTAGTCGACGAAATGATGACTAATTGTCGTCGGATGACCCGAATTCAGTCGCTTATAAGCCTAGTCCATATGATGACTAAAGATGACTAATTGTAGACATTTTTTAGTAGTCTTTAAGGCTTCTTTTAGACATTCTTTTAATAACTTTGGAAGCTCTTTTTAGATATCTTTTAGTCATCTTTCATATTATCTTTTAGATATCATCTCATTGTCTTAATTAGGTTAGGCAAGAATTAGGTTAGGATTAAGGTTAGGTTAAAATTAGGATATAAAACAAAATATTTTATTTATAAAATATATTTATATCAACCCTACTGAAAAATTTCTGTTGAGATAAGAAGAGAATTCCCAATTCAGTTCTCAGTTGAATTCTCAATTGAATTCTCAAATGCCGTTTCCGCAAAAATTCGTATGTAAGATCTCAATTGAGGTATTTGTATCTGATGAAAATAATTTATTGAAAATATAATGAACTTTTGCTGAAATGCTTTTGAAAAGCATTCACAATTTTGACCCAATTTCATTAAAATTTCTTTATAATTTCATTAATATTTCGATAATATTTTATTAAGAATGTAAAAAAATTCAGTGAAAAATCATTATTAATTAAAATAGATTGAGAAAAATATAATGAAGTATTATTTTGTCTACATAATAAAAAAA